TCATATGAGCGATAAATTCATTGAGACTTTCATTATTCTGCTTAGGTAATGGTTATTTTTGGGAGCATTTAACGAGCGAATTTTGTTCATCTTCATAATCTCGATTTAGGAACTTTTTCAAATAAATTTTACGGTCTTAGTGCTGTAATTTATTCATTGCATTCTGCATCATTTGTTTACTTTTCAACGCACTTGGTGAGGATTGTGGATGCGTGAAATTTCTTAAGTAATATTTTGTAAAGTACAAAACTAACTGGACCTTTAAATATAAATTTAGCCTTAGATTTCACACAGGGGAATGATTATAAAAATCGTTGCGTACATTTTAAATACTGTGTATAAACTTCTGAAATACATCGGAACGCATTCATAACATTCAAGTCCACATTTATTTTTTCCTTCGAAGTTTTTGAAATGCAGGGCAGGGACGATCAAATATTTTCCGAGGCCCCATCTTTAGAATAGGTGAATCATCGGAAAAACCATTGAAATTTTTTCGAGTATGACGAGAAGCATTACGAGTAAGCTCAGGTAATTATGACTATGACTTACAGACTATAAAAGTTCGTACTTAAGTGCCGGACGAAGGTTGAGTTTTTTCTTGTTATTATTATATATTCTTCTGGATTTTTATTTTTACTTTTTTAGTGCGTCGCTTAGTAAAAGATTTTGCCTACAACATTTTTCTAGCAACGTCATAATAAGCAGGACGTTTCGGGATAAATGCACCAAAAATAAAGTTTAAATCTGGGCCACGAATTTTCATCTTATTTTTAGCATGAGTTCACCATTAAAAAAATTCAAGTCATTTCGACGTTGCCAGCAGTCAGTCGTCTGCAAATGAATACTGAGCAGGCTTTTAAAAGCAGCTACAAAAGCGGCTGTCACGAAACGTGCGACGGTTAGGCGACGCGTCGCGGTTTGTCGGCAATAAAACAGGAGGCGACCGCGGGTCGTCAATTTGCCCGACCACCAAATATGCATCAAACCCGGATCCCAGGAAACCGACTCCTTTTCGAAACCCATCCTGCATGGCTAGTCAGTTTAACCCCAAGTATAACGACTCCAAACTAGGAAGCCCGGCTGAGTAAGGGCAGTCCGTCGTTGCGCAGCTCTAGAAAGTAAAGTAAGCACTAATAAGGAAGTCTGGGGCACCTTGCTGGGATTTCGAAAATTGCTCGCAAGTCCGCCAAATTCCTCGAGAAAAAAAACCATAATTTCCGAGCCAGGTATTTTATGCGCAGTGTGACAAAGATCATCAATAAGAACTGTTTCGTGCATTGAAATTATTGTACTCTACGTTTTTACCGAGAGAAAAAATTCCGGAAGTGCGAGTGTTCGTTTCGTAATTGTGTTTTGAAAAGCACAAAAAGAAAAATGCAAATTAAAAATCCAACCACAAAATTGTACATAAGCCAACCACAAGAAATTAAAATCAAATAATTTACTGTAGGCGAGCTATCCGTAAAAATCTTCGAAGTGAGATCTTTTTCCAGGCCAAGAATGACAAAGTGAATCATCTCGCAATTATTAGTATAGATTTTAAAGATGTTCACTGAAAATTTAACATGGTATCATCTGTGTAAGGGTTAGGGCTTAGATTTAATAGAGAAGCTTTATAACTTTAATACGCACTAAGTTCCACACGTTACTTTTAACGATGTGAATTCTCAGTACAAAGAAATGAATTTTGTTATAATTTAGGAAGAATTAAACTTGAAGTAATCAGGCTCGATACAAATCAGACAATAAAATTTGGCCCTTTCAGCTCAACATTTCGACGAAAATTGCATCCATCGTAGAATTTTACGACGTAAATCTAATGATGTTGACAGTTTCAAAAATCATAAATCCTTTGTATGGAAGTATACATACTTCACAACTCATAAATCTCCATCCCTGAATTACTGTACTTTCCTTGAATACTGGAAGGTTTGGAAGGTTTACCGCTGTAACCTATAAATTAATACATTGCAATGGTCATCGGAAGTCTTTCAATAATCGGCTTTTTTGATTATCTGTAAAGCTACGAGTCACTTGGAAAATCAAGATTGCTCGTGGACTAGAATAACTGATATTTTTTTCGCAGAAAAATGTTGCTCGATTTCGATCAAAGATTTTAAACACAGACAAGACACACATTGAACCCTTGAAACGAAATGTATGAAATAATTCATCAATTTTTTTCTATTTCAGCGAATCGATTGCTCAATCATGATCCTTGTCTCAGGAGCTAGAAAAATGAAAATGAAGAAACTTCGCGATCACCCCTCGTCGCATCCACACCTTCAAGAGGTTGCGGGGTTTTATTAATTCGGACACGAGCGCTTAAAATGCAGGTGTCCCGATCGGGTCGGGGTTCACTTCCTCGCCACGATTCGGTCGAATTAGTTGGCTTTTATCAAGAAATATCCTCACAACAAATTGTTCCCATAAACTCGTTTCCACACCTTTATGAAGAGTGAATTTTCACCAGAACCAAATGTTTTACAGTGTTTTAGAACTTCGGTGGATCTCTGAGTATTTGCGCGAAAATATGCCACATCTGAATTAAATACAGCGTATGTTTTCAAGTCAAAGAAAAATTACAACCGCCCGTATACAGTGTTTCGAAAATCTGAAATTTAGGCTAACGGCTAGTTTTTGGGCCTTATTTTCTGCAAAAGAGTGCTGTCTATTATCAGCTGGTATCCTGGTAAATAACCCAAATCCTTCCTAAATGTAAGTTTCGTGAGTCTCAATTTTCAGCGCTCGAACGGTTGTACGTACAGGTTTAACTGCGTTGGGTTTACGCTCATACATGCAGAACCATTTTTGCAAAAAGAAGCGTACAAAGATGTCCTTTAACCAAGTCAGATACATATTCGAGTAAAATGCATTTTTAAAGCCATTTCCCAGTTTAATTTATAGAGGGCCTCGACAAGATTTCCATGCATTGGTCAAGGCAAAAACTAAAGAAGTGGTCCACAAAATTTGTGAAGTCTTATGCGTTTCAAATACTGTACTATGAGTCTGTTATGTTGAAGAGTGCCATGCAGAGTTTATTTTTCAACTTCGCTCATATTGTCAGGAAAACTAGCAGGTTCTTTCCATGTACATCGTCTGCGGGCCAATTTTAAGGTCCAGAATTTACATGGTTCTGGCCCTCGAATTTCGGTGCGACCAATACGAAATTTTGGACTTTTTGTTGTTGCTAAGATTGTCAGAAAAATGAGGTTGCGAAAACTTATTTTAGTTGTTGATACTGGGCAAGTTTATAAATTATTCGGAAAGCGAATGGACTTTTCTGATTCTGAAGAAATTTGATAGGAGGTAAATTCATCTAATAATGTGAAGGAAATTTTTAGGTCAAAAGAAAAACAGAGGCTGTGTCTTCTCACGATAATTGCGCGAAGGAAGTTGTTTTTGCGTGAATTCGGTTCGCGAATCATAGAAAATGAAGCAACTTTACTACAGTAATAAATCGTTTTTCAGGAAGCGTGATTTGAAGAGGCAATTTAGTGACGACCGTTCTTCGTCATGAAAGTTTGCGACGAAAATAAAAACTCGGAACGGGCCGAAATCAGTGGAATCGTTTTCTGCAAAGGCTGTTTGAGAAACAGTCCCCGGGAACCAACAGAAAATCGCAGAAATATGTCATCCCCGTCGAAATATGTCTGTTTCAAATCTCTGCGACGAAACTCGAACGCGTCGATTCTGAGCTACTGGACTCGGTACTTGTGCGTTATGGTGATGTTCGCGTCGACAGACCCGAGGCATCGACACCAAGCAGCAGCTGCATCCACGTCATCGTCTTCATCATCCCCAGGCAGTGAATTTCGACACGAGAAATGGAAATCGCGCTTAACGTCGACCAGTGGCTCGACAGAAATTCTGCACTTTCAGGATTCTGTCGGTAGTTATTCAGAGACCCCACACGAGGAAGACGCTTTAAACACTTTGCTGAAAGTGAGTACAGTTCTGATTGGAATTCATGTTCATATTTTAAATTTACTAGATTAAATAATTCATGAAAAATTCTTGGAGGATGAATTTTAAAATGCACGCAATGAACTTTCTCCAAAATATTTTATTTCAAACAGGGAAATTGTTCATGGTCATAAGATTTTCTAATGTTTCAGCAGCTCCTTTACAAAGATATCCTCAGTACGATGCATTATTATTACTGCAATTCATTTTCACCAAAAATACATTGTAGACGGAGTCCACTTTACGTAAATGCTTCGTACTTGCCACTTTTCAGACGACTCCAGTCGAAGAAACTATATTGAATGATCAATAACACCATTGTACATAAAACTTATAAATATATTCAGGAAATGGCACCATATTTAGTCATTTCATAAATTAGGAGAATATGTTGTTTGAAGAAAAAGCTTCGGCCGAAAATTACGAATCATCTTCTTCCTGATTTCTATAGCGGCAAAAAAATTATTTTTGAAAAATATTGCTTCAAGTTGAACATGTTTTTTCCGATCAATACCAAATTTGCATTAATTTTTACAAAATTGATCTTTCACATTTGTGATATTTTATCAATTTCATGAGGGTTTGAAACACATGTGGTTTAGGTAAAAGGCTGGGATGTATATGTTTTTGTTATTCCTAAATTATTTTTCGATTGACGCTCATGGTGTCATCGATTATAAGTACCTAAAAATCCAGCCGTAAAATTTATCGACTTTAAACATAACCTTTTTTGCTTGAGAGTCCCGCATATCTGAATAACATGTGAATAACATGGGCACTTTTAGTTTTGAAAATGTAATCGTGAAAAAATCCTTGAAACCCCCGCCACTATTTTTATTCAAAATTACTCGCATATGATTTTTTCACAAATTTTGGAAGGAAGGGCTAAAATAAAGAAACTAAAGTAGAAACACCAGGACAAGTTAAATGAATCATCAAAAATTTAGAATGGATTTCATATGCGACTTTGCTTGATGATGCTGTTCTTGGAAGATCTACAGAATTATTTTATATTTTTCCATTCGTTCTCTGTTTATTGCTTTAGTATTCGTTGACACAGAGTCAAACATCTCCGGAAACGCCATTCAATGTATCTTTTCCAAACAGAAAAATCGTAAAACATAGGATGAACTTCACAATAGCTTGGATAGAAATCGGCTACTTGCTCAAGATTTTAAATGAAAAAAATCAATTTTTCAATAAATTGTTCGCCAGGTTCTAGATATTCCGGCACCTAGCCGAAGAACGCGTCGAATGTCACCACCGCAATATATGCTGGACTTGTACAACAAAATTGCTGACGAAAACGGACTGACAATTGGCGAGAATCCGTACGGAGCAAAAATCATCCGCAGCTTCAAACCTTCACTGCGTCGCCAGACCCGAAAGCCAAATGAAATCAGCAAGGATGAAATTAGTACGGGGGAAAAAATTGCAAGTGAACACGGAATATTTCTGCAGTTCTCAATCGGGGTGCTTCGACCCAGCGAATCGGTGATTGAAGCGGAATTACACGTATTTCGTTCGAAGCGATTTCTTTCACCGATGAATGCAGAGGAAAACAATGGACTTTATCAGGTATTTGAATAAAGGAATCTTAATTTTTATCATTTACCTGGTCAGTTCTTCGAGCGCGATTCGTGAAAATGATTTGAATCGAAATTGAAAATTACCAATGCTTTCCGACAAATGAGTGTATTTGTCCAAGTAATAAACTTGGAATGAACTAATGTAGAATGAATTTTTCAGTAAAGGAAAACATGAACTTCACAAGGACCTAGCAATTAGGACACCACATTTGTAAAAGCCACACGTTTTCCATATGAATTCATTATCTTTCATTCTTTCCTGAACAGCTCGTCATACGCTATAGTTTGAGGATCTTTCTTCGCAGGGGCCGATCACTATTTTCCAATATGTTTCAAGTCATTTTAAATGAATTTTCTTTCTAAGCTTGAGAGAAAATGCTCAAATTAAAATTTAGAGATAATTGTCCGCTTTATTTTTAATGGCTGACTTGAAGCTTGGGCACGATTAATTATCGCCATTCAAGATCAGAATAATAATAGAGGTTTTATTGTAGAGTATTTTAATTAATCACTCGTAATATGTCTTACAGTCTCGTGCCAACAGCAGTTGAACAGTTCGCATAAAAGGTTTTTACGCTGTTCGCATTGTAAGAATGAATCAACTATCAATGAGTCTGCGTAGGCAGTTTATCCATTTCTCAAAAGCGACTCTCTTTTATTGACAATGATTATCGTTTGTTCTAGCCAAATATGCAGAAATAAATTTTTCGCTATTTTTGATTGATAAGTTACAAATGTAATCATTTCCCCTCCGCCCCTGAAACAGTATGATCTGCACTTCTGCAGTAATTATTTTCTTGTTTATATACTGTATATAAGCATTTGGCATAATTTGATAATTCAAGAAATGTTAGCTTCATTCAACAAAATGCAGCCCAAATTTTGACCAAAGCAGGAACATAATTCGATAGAGACGCACTTATTCCCGTGGTCATGTTTTGATCATTAGGTTTCATCCGTTGATAATCTAATCTATAATATTCCATTGCTAAAATATACAGTATTTATTTTCACAAAGCGGTGTAACTCATCTTCGGGATATTTTAAATCTAGGAAGCGCATCTTTGATTTCATGGATGGGCAACTTTCTTTCGGTTTGCTATACAATATATTTTTCAACCAACAAAAAAGAAAGAGTAATTAGTTGAACGAAGAATCTATTTCGGAACACTTTTCTTCATTCACATCGCTCGAATCGCAATTCATCCTACAATAACTAAAATGTGTCCTAATTCATGTTCACAGATACACGTTTATGAGCTGCATCATCGAAAGAATACTTCAACTCCGAAGAAATCCCATCTAGTTTCTCACCTGGTGTCTACCAGTAGAGAATCTTCTGGAAATTGGGAAGTTTTCAACATAGGCCACGCTTTGGCTTTAGAAGAGAGTCTTAATTCCCTTTACGATTCGAAAAACCGGGCCGAAATCAAACTTTTAGTCGAGGCAACAACGACAAACGGGAAACCGTTGAAATTGTCTCCAGAAACCGGACGCCATTCAAAGCAACCGTTCCTCGTTTTATACAACATGGACGAAGTATCTACTCGAAGTAAACGATCAACGTCAAGCGAAATCCAGTACATGAATTCCAGCTCCACGACTACCGAGTCATCTTCGTCCGATTCGTCATCAGAAGCCACTGGCGTCACTTCCACGATCCCTCTTATCTCGGACGAACCGAATACACTTCCAGCACCCACGGAATCTCCGCCACAACCGGAAGATCATGTGAAAACGATGCCTTGTCAACGCTTGCCGCTATACGTTGACTTCGAGCTCATCGGCTTGGAGAACATAATTTCCCCGCGAGGTTACCAGGCCTATTGGTGCCACGGTTCGTGTAGTTACCCGCTAGGCCAAGAGGTGTCACCGTCTAACCACGCAACAGTGCAAAGCTTTGCTCATCACGTTGGATTGAAAAGTTCGTATGGTCCGAAACCAAGGCTCAATGTTTTGCTTCTTCGCCTCCTCTAGCCACTTTAGTGTGCTATGCGCGTTGACCTCTTATATGGGCAGTGTCGCGGCACAACGCATGGTAGACCGAACGACAGCCACAGCTAGAACAAGAACGGAGAAGACGGGAATGTTGCGTTGAGGCAGTATGACGACATGGTTGCGGCATCTTGTTCTTGTCAGTAGGTAAATAGGTAATAAAACCTGAAGAAATTCAACGTTTTCGGCGGTTCAATTTGCCCACCCGTCACATGCGTCAGGGGGAAAGTTTGTAGGTGAGGTATGAGGCGCGACAAAATTTAAGGAACTCAGAACTGGCGGGTGACGCATCTATCGCAATAAGTAGGTGCAGGACATCGATTTCCGGAATCAACGACAAAGGCCGACAATTCTGAGGAATTGCTGTCACGCTCCCACGTGCCTTCGGATGCCGACAATCGAATTTCATTCCTCACGTTTCGCCCCGAAATGTTCCTGCCACGAACGCGACATCAAGCACCGCTCCCGGATCCGACGGCAGCCCCTTTTGAATTCCATTTTCACAAATTTTCATAATTCTGTGCCCATTATGTTCACCGCGGCTTTCCTCTTCTCTCAATCCGGTTCTTCTGAGATGAGTAAAAAAGAAGCACTTGTTCTCAAAAATCGATTAAATTAATGCGGATAATCGAAAGAATGTTTCCGAGCGATCCTTAATTCTCATACTTCCGATCACAATACCACGATGCATTTTCGTCAGTCCAATGTTGTGCCTTGGAACAAGCCTCCGATAAGTTATTTAGCACGCTAATTGCATTTTAGCCCTGATTTGAACATCCAGCTACTGGCGAACCTTTCTTGAATTTAATTTTTAAAAATATTCTTCGCAAATAATATCGCAGATTAAATCTACAGACTTCATAAGCATTGATGCAGGCGTGACAGGGAAAACTTCTGTAGCGCGGTATTCCAGGAGTCCGAAACCAATGAATACGCTGAAATGGCTGGATATACTGTATATGGTTCATGTTGGCTCGGATTCATACCCGTTTTGTACCCAAAACTGATGACTTACACGAAGAAGCCTGACCCGTGAATTGCTCAGGACCTTAGGTCATTTATACAGTTACAGACGACAGGGTCTACAGACAAAAATTACTCTTTTTCATCATGGCGAGCATACAGTAACCAACTAACCATGCGCGAACTTCACGTTCATGTTGCCGTCTATTGAGACAACAAAACGCCTGAAATGGTATTTATAAGTTGTAATACTGTGCTGCCGATTTTCGCAACGCCCAAAACCTTGTACGGAAATAAATTTTGGCACTAATTCAATGAAGCCATCAATTTTCGTAGCCGGAAACGAATTTTCCGAATCCCAAGACGTATCTAAAAATAGGGGGAATACGTTTCACTGGCTAAACCCATAGCTTACTATTCGTAGCTTCCATTATATGATCGAAGGTCACAGGGAACTGTACGTTACGAGTCTCATGAGAGCATTTTGACAAGCAGGAGTGATTGATCGGATTGAGTCGAGATCTTCCGATAATCCTCATCCGGGATCCCTGACGCGGATGACGATTTCAGTGACCAGCCGACATACGCAACTGCCAACAGAGTGACGCAAGCTCGCATTGCAATTCCGACTCAGTGATTCAGGTTCGCTGCGCCATAAATATGACCCACTCGGATTGATGACCCACCGAGTAAGGAAGATCTGATCCGTCAAATGAATCTAAGAATGAAGCGGGCGCAAGTGTCACGATAAAGCTATCACGGTATAACATTACAACTAAATCAGCATGTTTGAGCCGGATCTTCCCAACAGCCTGCTTTGACGGGATGAATAAACAGAAGGCTACATAGTAAAAATGCCATCAACCTATTTATATGCACATACGCAAAGGAATCTTCCATAACCCCGAATCCATCACGTTACAAGTTTTCACAGCTTTTCAAAAAGCATCAAAACTCAAAAGCAATTGACATACGCGAGATACAACGCAGCATTAGGCAAGCTCCCCATTTTATGATCAAAACGCAAGCATCATGAAATACAATTGCAGCGAAAATGAACAAAAGTTTCAACTGTTCATTTGCTGCTGCAAAAAAAATCGTACTGTATTTGATCAAGGCAAACCTTCAAGCAACACGCTGTCGATAACATGGATCACACCCCGATTGATAGTCGCATAATCCGAGCTGATAACACTCGCGCCATTCACTTTTATAACACCTGCGAAGGAACAATTTCCTAATTAATGATGAAACATCTTCACATCACGCAATTTAGAAAATTTCATCGACCTATTATATTTGAATCCATAATTCAAAACATAAGCAAATGAACAAAAGGCAGTAATACCGTGCTGATAATGAAATAACAAAATTCTAATGATTCCTTTGATAGAACGTAACGTCGTGACGTGAAGCAAGTTGAGAACGTAAACGTAAATTGATCAGGCAATCGAAAAGCCATAAAATCAATCTTCTAAGTTTAAACGTAGCGATGAATATTTTATTCTGATCCGGAAGAGTTACAGCGAAAAATGATCATTCAATACAATTTAATTCTAGCAACAGCTGTAGAATTTTCATCATCGCCCAGTTAATCAACCTGTGACGTGTTCCCAAATAAATTATGTGTTGGTTGCTGATGAAGAAAACAATTTTAAATACGCAAAAACAGTCGTAATTTTTCGCAAGCCAGTTTATAGACCAGTATATCTCCAAAAATGGATTCATACGACGCCGCTGAAATTGGGTTTTTTAATCCAAGAAGAAAATAGATCAAGATTGCTTACCAGATTCTAACTTTACAGTCAGATTTTTATTGCTGACCGAGACGAGGTTTATGGGACTGCTTGCCAATAGCGCTGGGGAGAAGAGCGGACCATGTAGACCGGCTGACTCCGGACCAACAAGATGCCTTAGTCCCAGGACTCCGAACTGAGCATCCGTAAGGTTTGCCAAAATGTTGAACGGAACCCTAGACCAGGCTTCATTCGACGGTGCGAATAGTGTAAATCCTGCAAGGAAACGCAGCCACATTTTCATAATTCTCATCACTCTAAACTGTACTATTCTTCAACTGCTTCAAGCATAAAAAATAAATAAATTACGTTTGAACACACAGTACCTGGATTCTTCAGCAAGTTCAGCATCATTCTATTTTCCGGTTGAAAAAATCCATCGGTAACCGGTGCAGCAGCATGAAGCGTAGTCTCAGAATCATATTTGGCAAGTGGATAAATTACGCGATCAATCACATGTATTATCCCATTCGTAGTCATATAATCTGGAGTCGCTATCTTAGCTCCGTTGACCGCATAGAGCTATAAAAAGAACGAGAGGAAATTATTTAATTTTCAAATGTTCATCTATGAAAGAGGCCGGTTCTTTTTGCTGAGTCGAACAATAATACTTTGAAAATGTTTTCTCAACCTTGAAACATCAATTTGAACAACTTCTAAATTGGCTGTTGTCGAACAGGCACAGAGTCTGCGAAAGAAAGAACCGGCACTATTAACACCGCATAATTAATCCTGGGAATTTTCCTCAGAAGGGGTAAGGGGAAAAAGGAGATTGTAAACTTTTCTTCTCGCAGGACATCAGTCGCACATCTATTAAAAAAGAGGTAAAATCCTTCCATGCAAGTCTCTCGACGCCCGCGGTGATTCGTCTCAATCATGTAAATAAACTCATGTAATGAAGGCAAGTTGCGCATATTTCTGAATTGCGACACAGATTAGAAAACTAAAATTTCCGATTGTTCTGATATCAGTGCACTGTACCGCATCAGCACATCGCACATGCTATTTAATCTAAAATTAGTTGACGTAAATGTAAATCAAAAAGGAACTTACAGGCTTTCCACCGATCGTGTAATTGCTCACAAAAACAGAAACCCCAGCTGCAAGCGTGGGTACGACTTTCTGAGCAACAGCTTGAGAGGAATTCAAGTTATGATCCACTGCATGACCACTCAGGAGTTCCAGCAGGTCAACACCACTAACGCCAAGTTTTTCGAATTGATCGAATGCACTATCCGTCGGGGCGAAAATTGTGGCTGAAGGTGTGTCATCTAGAAAAATAAGAATAAAATCATGAAACTTCGAACCGACAGTGACCTCATTGTTCGCGTACTCACTCAGCAATTTATCCAACCCCACTTCCTTCAAGGCTGTCACCAGCTTCGTGCAATTCAGATGGATGAGAGTTGGGATGAGCTTGTCCGTCTGGAAGATCTGCTTGAAAATAGAGAAAAAATACATCTTTAGATTCTCAAAAGATGACCGAGCTGTTCAACAGTAACCTGAGCATCACCAAGTCCCACCAGACAAGCAGCAAGGACGATAACGAGTTTGTTCATCGTTTCAGGTTAAATCCGCCTGTCGAAAAGAAAGAAATCGTGTTCACGCAAAGATTCTACATATCACGAACACGCGCGATTACGCAAAAAATAAACTGGACACATACTTCAATAAACACAATTTCATTGAACTCTAAACGGCATGAAAAATCGACACTCACTTCGTTTTCCAGAGAAAGCGAAAGAGAGGGACCAACCGCGATCACAGAAAGCAAATAACAAAGACACGGGACATCGATGAGATCCTATACTTAGTATCTATATTTGGTTGAATAATCCTTTGGTGAGACGACAAGACCTCGACCTTTTCGTGCACCTCTGTACACGGTTTCAACAATATCGACCATTTCCTGCTTGTCTTCCAACGCCCAGTTGATCTTGTTGTTGTTACCGGTTCCCAAATCAATCATGATGTGTTTGTTGCGGAAGAAGAACATGCAGGTGCAGGGATCATACAATTCATACCTATGAAAGCAAGAAAATGTTAGGGATTACATAAAATACATGGAAAGTTCGACTTCATCATGGAATTCAAACAATAATTATTGGGCATCGGATTGCAGAAACGTCGCCCATCTACAGGAACATTAAATTTGCTCTAAGCTCAATAACATTATTCGACTGAATACCGAGTCCAAATAATTTCACAACTCCTCACATTTTGTTGAAATCTGGCACTTCGGTAATATCAACCAGGTAGATAACGCAGAAGTTTTTCACTTTCTCGGCAATTGAGTACAAAACCTCGTCCATCTTCATGCATGTCGGATCCCAATCGTGACCAAATCGTATCACCTGTACAAACAATGTTTCAGGTTAATCACACAATATCGAACAAAAGCGCATCGATTCCATATCACTTTAATGTTTTTTTTCAATTTGGAATTCCACCGAATTTTTCATATCAGAAATACAGGGACAGGATTACGACTCACGATGAAAGCGTCAAGCTTATTCAGAACGATTACATCACGTATTAAATCAGCTCACACGATCGCAGTAAGAATAACATTTCTAAATATGCTTTAATTCGCTGCACAGATTATCATTTTTTATTTAGGTACTGATCATTAACCACAACATTCACAGTATCACGGAAGCACTGACGAAAAAAATCTCACGGTTCGCCGCACACGTTGCCCATGGCACATTAGCGAATTACTCTGAAATACGATGAAAGTGAGTTTACCACTTACGGGTACGTAGGAGAAACATATACAGTAGCTCACCACAACACGGTCTTCTTCACTAAGAATCGCCTGGTCGACTTGCCAGCCATTGTGAAGATGCGATAACATATAAGACATCCTGTCGGGTTTATCAAGTTTCGCCGCGTAACAAGCACAAACGTTCTAAGCGTAATTCACATACAGTTTTACCTAAAATACCCAGTCAAAAAGAAAAAAAGGCGTTTTTCAGAAGAGCCGGTAGCTTCCATAGTCATTTAGAAACAAATCCTTTGCGGAGAAAGTTTCGGCACATCGAACAAATGATTCGTCGATGAGAACTCCAAAAAGTTCAACATTAAATACAAGTTTTCTTTCGTTCGAAGAGTGCTACAAAAGTTCAAGAGATACTTTCGAGAACTTTCCCCGCACTAAAGAGAAAAACAAAAGTACAAAAATATGTTTCATTTTCCCGACGATACCTCCAGCATGGATTTTCTGTCACGATATGTTGACATTTACATCTAGCATACACTCGAGGTTGATCGTTGCTACAATTCGACCAACAAACAACAAAAAAAGAAAAATTGCACATCCATACATTTCACGACGGAATTGGAAGAAACAGTAAAAAAAAAAATTTACCACGGCACTCGTGTTGGCTTCGGAACATTTTCCCACTTGCTGACTAGGGTACCGAACTCCAAACGAACGATTATAAATCACATCTTCACATTAAAAACGCATCAGATCCAAAAACCAGCCCAAATGATTCGCTTTAAGCCACCGTCATTCAAGACACAGCGAAAGACATCTATTTAAGCTGATCCAAACGAGCAAATTCTGGAGAAAACCATAAAATAAAATCCAAGTTTTATTGTCATAAGCGCTAAAACCATTCCACAGGCGTAGAAATGACCCGCAAACTGTTCACTGCCCCTCCCATGGATTCATCTCAACCCTCCTGCCTTTACACAATCATCACAAACGAACGCGAAATTCTTGAGCAATCCAAACGCGTCAAAAATAAAAATTCGGATCATACGAGCACACAGATCTGATGACAAAAAATTGAAATCATACTCCAAAGAGGTATGCAACCTAAGGTAGCTACTGCCACCGGATATTTAGCAGATTTATGAATATTTATCTCCGATTACTCCGAACACTCCAACTTAGAGATACGCATCAAGGCGAAATTTAAGCCGCAATACTAACCATTGAACCTTCACAGGAAAGCCAATCGAACAAACCATTCATCAACGACGGAACTTGACAAACAAGAATCACGCATTATCAAGCAAAATCCTCTTCAGAAAACTTGCTTGAATTAAGGAAACGGCGGGGGATAAAACACCGGACTTCCGAGAGAACATCCCTCAAAAAATGACTGCGACTTCGGGGCGCAATCGATGGCATTTAACGACTTGTCGAAGCAAATTTCAATCTGATTCAATAGGAAGATTTTCTGCATCTGAGGAAGGAATAAATTTAGTAGATTATAAATACAGTAATAGGTCAAAAACAAGAACAAATTTCAAGATTAATAACTCACTTGCTTCCCGTGGAAAATCAAACATTCCACTCGAGGGCTAACACCAAAAGCCCCTTTGACAGCATTGAATATGTCATGCGCTTGATAACCCTTTTTAAGGGAAGGCTCAATCCCAGCTTGTTTCAATGCTCCGAAAATATTGAATTGATCCCACATCTTCAATCCAGCTCCGAAATATTTCACTTCATCACTTAATTCCGATAACTGCATGGCACATGTTCCATGCTTGGTCCATTCATGTTCCCACAAAGTACCTTCTTCGGTTTCGACAAAAAGGTTTGGCCAACGAACGCTCAGCTCCGGTTCCAAAGGCTCAAGTAGCTTCATGTCAAACTTATCCGAACGATTGCAATAAAAGGGACCAAGGGGCCCACTGTCGACGGATGGCCTATAAGTTGGAATAGTAATGACGAAATAAAATATACACCAATTCGTCACACAAAAAAAGGCTTCAAAGAGCTGCACAATCTAGACCGGTATTGATCAGAAAGCTCGCTACTCATCAAGCCGAAAGAACTTCTAAACCGAAGTGGAGCCTTTCACTCCATGATAGCCTCTTGCATCAAGAGAATGCATCCTATTTTTGGCGGCAGTAAGAGGGACAAAACAAAAACTGGTCTAAAAAAATTGATGACTCCAAGATGCAAAAAACTGCACATACACGGGAAAATCATTCGAAAATTCGTGGAAGAATTCATGCAAATTGAGGAATAACGGACTTGTTTTCAAAAATATTTGACAAGAGCAAGAGAGAATCGAAAGAAATTTAGACAGTTTAGAGGAAGAAAGTCGCGAATGAACATCGTTGAAACCTTTCCTGCAGGCTACATTATCGGAAGATCGCAAAAACTCTCGAGGAAAAGACGCACGGAACCATTTGTAAAAACAATTTCTGGAAACTAAAATCGCGCGACGGCGTGAGTATGCTACCGAAGCTCGCAGATATAATTTACCAGAGGCCATGAACTGCCCATTGCTGAATCGTTGATGGAACTCGACAATCTCTCGCGGGAGTTGAATGGCGATAATGTATGCAGCTCGTTTCTGGCCACAGTTGAGTGAAAATGACGTAGTCAAAATTCTTGGTCTTTTCGACGACTTGCAGCACATTGAACTCCGACCTGAAAAAAACAGAACATGTTAAGCAGGTGCGATGAAGGTACGACTACTTCCATTCAGAAAACTTACACTATCACTTCGCCTCGGAACTTCTCGTCCTCGAGGCTAGTAAGGGTGGCCCAGACAGCAAGAAAAATCAAGATTAAACCGAACAGCGCAAGAATCAAACTGTAGGAGCGCGCGATTTCTTTGGCACGACGCCTAACACTCTCTTTCTCCGGAACAACATCTTCCCCGAAGTATCCCCTCAGGTCACTCTCTCTCATTATGCTACAACAAAAGAGAGCGAGAAGAAATAAATCAGTTTGAATCAAAAGGGTTAAGCATTTTCTCATAGGCATCAAATTAATGGCTGCCCGATCTTGAGGAGAATCACGCCATCCAGAAATAACTTCCGAGTTCCACTGAAGCTGGCGGCGCCATCGCACTTTCTGAGGGTTAAATTTATATAACTGCACCTAAAAAATGTATGTGTCAATTTAACTTACCAACGTTCCTTATAATTACCACAAATGTACGAACTTCCGAATTAATTTACAGCAATCAGCCGTTGATGACCTCTTCCACACTGCAGTTGCGATATTTCATGGCGTCCCAGTAATGATATTAATGAAATTTCACGGTACCGCAACGTTGTACAGTTGCGTAGCTCAGAACGCTTTGGACGCGACGCTGTGCTCAGCGAGAAACAATCCGGCTCATGGACCAATGATCAGCCCCGTTATCATTGAGAGGCGTATGGCGAGAACAGCTTCTCATCACATCGATATCTCACAAACACATGCCTGCGTCCGTTTCAGTAAGAAATAAGAACACATCAAACGACTTCCTGCAAGGTTTTGCGCAAATTCATTGAAGCACTACACGAAGATACGGCTTCGAACAAATCGACTAGCACGCTTGAATAGATTGTCGTACATCAAACAACCACACAACTCCTGGCGGTGAAGGCATTGGAGCTTATGGACTTCTCGTAGCTCCAAAGCATTTCTTGTACAATGCACGTTACTTCAAACCGAGTTCTAGTTTCATAAATGCTCTAACGTTCACGTCCGGTATCTTATCGACAGCTTCTTTCAGTCGCTTTTGGTCACCAGCGTAGAATCGGTTCAAATCGCGGACATATTCCGTCCACACGCAATCCATACAACCGGATTCGCAACAATCAGTGTCTTGCGGAGGGTTCGGCGGTTTCGGAATTGCGTAAATGGGGGGAACTTCGTCGTCACTTTCAGTGCTGCATCTGCGAATTACGATCCTTGACTTTTGCGACCTCAGCCACAGTCGGGATAGAAGAGCCATGTGATCAGGCGCTTAAGGGATATCCGTTCGAGTTTCATGCAAGATCGCGCGCTCATTTCAGACACATCACATACTGCACTCGGCTGAGCTCCACACAGCTGTGGTCGTAACGAAACGAGCGAAGTCATATCACAAGACACTAGAAGAGAACGCGTGCACGTCGCACGCTACGCACATCGCCTCAAGGAACGCGGTATGTTTTTAGATATTGCACAATACCCGCCCAGGCGCGCACGCTTCCCACGAAACCCACTCGCGCGTACGGTGGAAGTTGTGAAGGTTGCACATTGACGGCGAAATTATATCAGCACCAGAACAACGTTAAACGCCTGTTTTTCCATTTTCGAAGTCAATGAGTTCCCCGTATCATTCCAAATCAGCACCGCTTGGCAGGCGATTGCCGAATGAAGATCGCGAACGGAGGGTTAAAATTGGCTAGGCGTCGAGCAGGAGAACCCCGCCGGTTGCTCGATCGGAAAATGTATTTCACTCCACAGTCCACCCACAACGGCGGGGGCCCGAACCCAACCACCTCAGGGGCTGCTGGTTTCCAGGGACAACTGAGAATCGGATACAGTACAGTACTGTACAGTTTTACGGTGCTATACAGGAGACTGTACTGGAGACAAGGAAACTCTCTCAAGATTACTTAAAAAAGGGTCTAGGCAGAGGAATCCTGGGGTCAATTTACTGAACATTTATGTATTCAACAAACGACGGAAATTTCCATCAGCAATGGTATGAGATGATGAAAATTTCCTCTGTGAGCTGGGGCCAAGTACATATTAGCTCACCCACTGATCTACTGTCTCCACAATTCGTTTGCAATGCTGTGCGAAAGTGTACCATTGTACATCATTCCTTTGCAGAACTTGTAGAAACCAGTATTCCAAGTGTGTTATACCAACGAATTTCCCCAGACGTCATTTGAAAGTCTTCTTCATCTTCGGTACAGTGTTCCATTTTCATAATGAGAGATTAACCTGCTTAAAGCTTGACTGACCCACTAATTTATGTCTAATCACCAAATCTAAGGAAAAATAACATAGAATGAAGATGAGCTGGCCGACTTCCTGGTTTATATCCATTGTATAATGATGGACATATACCTTGATGCTTTGTGCACCCTGCGCTGGCTATTAATTGTATGCTTGGAGCAGAAAATTTATGCATGCGGTGGTTTACCAAGAAAAAGTGCACATACTGTACTTTCTGATATAATTAAATTACCAAGAGTCTGTACCTTTGGAAAATATGCATTTTTCCCAGCTATTGCGGCAAATATTACTGCTCATTGAACCTAAGGAATATGAGCAGAGGGTTTTATCATCCGATACGGATGCATCCCATGTCACATATGTGAGGTCTTTCTCAGCCACATGTGCATGGCAATTGATTTCAGAAAAACTACCGTACATCGAGTTTTATTTTATTTTGGAATGATGGCAAGAGGCATAACCGTATAGATGACCTTTTTCGATAATGTTAAAATACTGTACAATATTAGCTTTAATTTAGATAACTTGCTAAAATTCGATTCTTTTTTGCCATACGTTGTGTGACAAAATAAACTTTCATGAGTAACTTTCTTCCCCCCAAAAAAATACGTTGCTAAGCGCATTTTCTGTTTTGGTCTTCACTGATGAAGCAAGGACCCATTGTACTGGTAAGAAAAACTGGGATTTAATATAAGAGTACATTCATCTATATATACTATATATAGTCATATAAGAGTACAAGCGCATCCAAATGAAAACTCAGGCCTAGCTTTTTTGAATGACAGATTGATGAGCAAAATAGCTGACGTTAAAATTGAACATAAAAAATTCCGATTATACCCTTGAACTTGAAATGTTCGCTTATAATAATGTTCATCTACAGCAGCAGTTCGAAACCCCAGGTCTGTCTAACGGAATCCGTTTTTGTGATGGGTGCTCCAGTTACGAGACCCTGCAGCCGTGGTCTGTAAATGCACAACTTCGCAGAACGCGAAGGTATTATTTTGATTTATTTCTTGACATAAACTGTGCAGAAGCCCAGATATCCGACCGATTGCATCCCATCACGAATGCACTGCTGAACTCTCCCGAAAACTGTGGCAAACGCCAATGTTTGATATACTATACTGCTGTACAAGGGTTGTTACAGTATTATACAAAAATATATATATATATAGACGAAATTCACCAGATAGCCCGTGATTTTCGCAGGTTCTGGGAATTTTTCGATGAAAAAATGAATTCAATTAACTGCATGAAAGCAAGAATTAACTTTCGAGTTACAGCCAGAGTTCTCCACTAATGTTACAGATTGCCAAAAATCGTCAGGCCAGCTGAAAAAGTGAACATTTTTGTTTTTTCTCCCGTTATCTTTCTTACACAAGAAATGTTTGCCTGCAGGCATTCACGGGATTATACAAGTCACACGGGCAGAGGCAATATTTTGACGATATACATTACTGCTGTTCTACATTCAGCCGGTATTTTTCGTCACATTTTCGAAGCATTGCGCTAAATTTAATAGAAATGCGCGCAATTCACTCTCGATTCATGCGGGACTACGGCAAATCTGGTCATCAAACTCGCCAATTTCGATTTTTATTTTCAGACTCGTACGCAGAATATCCGCGCGAAAAACGAGGCAGATTTTCCGCACGAGACAATATTTATCTTTACAGAGCTCAAATTTCCACTCCACCAGCGGTTCCAGTCACGCCGATATTCGGATTGTTACTCTGCACAGCACCAGCAGTCACAGCCACACCCGGTTTGCAAGGCACACCTTGAATATCAATTCTCGGCTCCATGGCACCATTCGCCAGAGCGTGCCCATGCAAAAGCCTGGTCACAGGGTGCTGCTGTTGTTGCGGATGGTGCTCCTGGCGAACGTCCGCCGCGAACGCCGCCGGACGCAACACTGGCGTATTCGCCCACAAAAGCTTCTCCATTTCGCTGCTCAGCCAAACGTCGTTGGCGACCTGCCACAGCGGACTCCGCTTGGTCAAATCGGGCTCCAGCATCCGAACCACTAAGGTTTTCACCTGATGCGATAACTTATCCTTGACCCTGTTTTTATCATTTCATTTTTTGTTGCATATTCCCAGCGCGCAAGAAAATTATTCCGTCCGCCGCCAGGGAGAGAAGATAAATAACGAATCGATCAGCGCAAGGCTGTGGGAGAAAATTCCATAGGTATGTGATGTATGTAATCACCTGCTCCGGAAAGACCAATTCCGTTTCTCTTGGTCTCGAAGCAATTTGCGGACCTTGGTGTCATCGAACGGCATTGAACCGTTCAGCATTATGTACAAAATCACGCCGAGGGACCAAATGTCGGACATTTTCGGGTTGTACGGCTCCCCGCGTATCACTTCGGGTGCACCATAAGCCACTGACCCGCAATACGTGTCACTCAAACACCGCTTTCCTGATTCACTCGTGCACCTTAATAAACCACGTGTCAAATTTTTCGAGATTCAAGTACCGGTACTTCATTAACAAAATTTTAACTACGAAAAAAAAATTTAGCTCGAAGATCTGTCATTTAAAAAAGATTACGCTGCATCGTCGGTCACATATGAAAGCAAGTGGAGTTTAGGCAGACGTTTTACTTGTTTCAAAATTTATCGGCAGCGGAGAAGTGGGGATTTCGGAAGAAAAATGTGGCCAACATATTCACGCAAATGATCGAGTTCATCAGTACGGTACGTGTATTTCATGTAAAATTTAAATGACACAAATGCAGTGTTTATTCGACGCGTGTCTCATGAATTTTTTCCACACTTTTCCGTGATTTGAGAATCTGTAAGACGCTTTAATTTTGAGACACATGAACAGCTTTTAAAGAATTTAAGATGATTCACACGCAAGTGAATGTTATAAAAAAAATCGAAATTCACTAGCCTCATCAGATTAAGACAAGCCTCACAAAATGTAGCAAAATTCATTCGACCCCTAAATAATTATCAGAAAACCCCAAACATTAAAGAAAAAAGTAAGATATAGTAGAATGAATGATAACGCAATCAATTGCGATACAATATTCGCCCGGTAGGTATTTACCTTCTTGAGAATCCGAAATCGCCGATTTTTATGTTCCATTTTCCAGTGATCAAAATATTCTCGCATTTCAAGTCCCGATGTGCGATGTCTCGCTGATGCAGGTAAAGTAACCCTCCAACAAGCTGATAACCAGGTACGCGAAGAGATATACATAATTAAGATAACTTTTTTTGTAAAAGAAATTTAGGAATGAACAATAAAAACAACAAACCTGCTTGAACCAAACGTGTGACTGAGGTTCGGAAAGGCCGAGAGTTCTCTTGACATGGTCCAGTAAATTTCCATTTTCAGCATACTGCATGAAAATATAAATTCGTTGGTGGCGTTCGAGAATGCTGTGAATTCTGACAATGTTCGGGTGATCGAGACTCTTGATTATCTCGAGTTCCCGGGGAAAAAACTTCTTGACAAATTCCTTTGGGCATTTCGACCGGTCTACGATTTTGCAAGCCAGCACTTGAATCTTGTCAACTTTATGGAATTCCGCCAGGCAAACTTCAGCGTATGAGCCTAATCGACGCATAAAAAAACATTTATAAGAAAACATGAGTCAGACACATGTACAATGAAGGACTGATAGAAAGTCATAGCCCAAAGCCAAACTACGATTTGCAGCAACATGGACGATAGCATTTTTTGTTGCATAAGGTATATTACCTTTCGAATAACAGCCAAATTTTCGATTCTTTATTGCCTTAGGTGCTTAGGAAATACGGCAATAAAAAATAATTGCTGATGTGTTCAACACCAGCGTATACTGCAAGAACCAATTTTGAAATCCTCTCCACATCGATGACATATTTTGTGTTGAATTTTTCTGCAGATAATTTTCCTTGATTAATTTAGGCAAGAAATTTAATTTATGTATCTAACTGCACGCGACGTTTGTTATATTCATACGTTCTGTTCAGGACATATCTGCAACTATACCCCGTATTTTGAGAATTATAGGAAATTTTTAATTTTATACGCAATGCAAATATTGACAACACTTGATCATTGCAAGTTACTTTCCCCGTTTATTCAGGAATTTTCCTGCAATAAACTTGGAACCAGCAAAGAGAAATTTCATCCTGTCTGAACAAAATGACCGCATGCAAGGTGAGCTCTCGATTCATGCCCACGCGCTTATAATTGGGTCTCACATTTCCCCGCTTCCAAAATTCATCCTTGATGCCCTTTTATATAGTTGGGCCCCTACATGCGGACACCTCGACGTACAGACGACTTGATTAAGGGACTCTCGAAACTTTAAAAATATGCCGCAACATCCGGACAAATCTTGAGATCTGGACACTTATGATCAACATTTCTACAAAAATGGAAAAGAGTGTATTCTTGTTAATTTTGCTAACTCTCGAAAAAATTGAGCTTTTTAAATTCACAAATACACTGCAGTATTTTTAAAACGTGAATTCATTAAAATTCCTAATTCATAACAGGCTAATTTTTTTTTGAGAGTTTCTTCCATCATCTGTGCACTTGCTGGACTCTTTTTCCTGGCAAAAAAGATCAGATTATGCATTGTTTTCTTTCGCTGTTATTTTCTGCATCTTGAATTAGAAAAAATCTTAATTCTGAGGGATTTTTCCACCACTTTGGTCGAGAGAAGAACCAATACTAAATATATTCCTTATCAAGTCTAAGAGAAAACTTGATCTGCTGACATGCAAATATTGACACTGGGTCAAATAAAGGTTCAAGCGATAATTATGTCCACATCTCGAGGCTTCACTGTACATATAGAAGTGCGTGACGAGGGAAGCTAAGGCCTGGTAATAATTACTAGTTACTACTGTATCTACTTCCAAAAATAATATACAGTATAATGGAACTTCTGATATGAACTAATACTTCACTGTGCAGTATACTCACTAGTTTATTATGAAAGCGTGTTTAGATAATTACCCTCGCCAATTTTATCGCCCAAAACGTAGCCCTTCTTCCCAAGCGCAATTTCCTCAGACGGCCTTCGTGAACACTTCGTCCCAGTTGAGTGATCGTGGGCGTCCTTCTGTTTTGCACAGGTTTCAACGGGTCGGTGTACATCGTCAAGATGATGTCCTTCTCGGTCGACTCTGCAAAAACACGAAAAACAGTTCCACCAGGCTACTGCAACTGCCTAAAGACATAAAACTAGCAAACCAGGCCGACTTCGAATAGCGTGAAGTGACCCGATTTGACTTTTTAATGAGTTCCTCAGTACGACGTTATTACGGACAAATGAACGGTTTAAAAGGGTTAAAAAGCAAAGCGATGTTTTTATACATTAGTTTTCTTCTGCTGCTCGGGCTCGTTGATCGGAAATTGACTTCTTATTCGCCTCAATCATCTTGGTCCAGCTTTTGTAAAGCTGCTCTTGCATTTCGTCAGTCAACCATTCGTCCTCGCCAATGAGTCTCAAGCTTATCCTGGCCGGGATAACAGGTTCCAAGATTTTCTTGAGCAAAGTCTTGACGTGTTGCGACGTCTTGGCCGCGACCCGAGCACGCATCTCCCATCGTCCATTTTCCTGGTCTTCCAAGAGCTTCTTGATGTTCCCGTCGCTGAAAGGCATAGAGCCGTTGAGCATAATGTAGAGTATGATCCCCGTCGACCAGATATCCGAGTTTTTCGGGTCGTATCTCTGCCCACGAATGACCTCGGGTGCAGCATAGGCAGCTGAGCCACAGTAGGTTTCACTGAGGACATCGGTGCCGTCGGGATTCTTGGTGCGCCTCGCAAAGCCGAAATCCGTGAGCTTGATGTTCCAGTTGGCCGTGATGAGAACGTTCTCGCACTTGAGATCCCGATGCGCAATGTTGCGTTCGTGGCAGTAGATGAGTCCGCCAATGAGCTGCTTGAACCAGACCTGGGCTTGTCCTTCGGGCAATGCTCCCACTTTCATTATGTACTCGAGCATGTCGCCGAACTGCGCGTGTTGCATGAAGATGTAGATCTTGGGCTCGCGGAGTAGGATGCTGTGCACTCGGATGATGTTGGCGTGGTCCATGGTGACGATGATGTCGAGTTCGCGGGGAAAGAATTTCCGGACGAATTCCTTCGGACACTCGTTCTTGTTGACGATTTTGCAAGCGAGGGTCTCGGTTGCGCCGCCGCGGTAGTGCTTGAACTCGGCCAGTCGCACTTTCCCGTAGGATCCGAGTCCGATGAGCTCCATGAGTCGATAGCCCTTCTTTTCCAGCGCATTGTCCTCAGATGTTTTCTCGGTGAGCGGGACGCCGACATCGTCCTTTTCCGCCTGTGGCTCAGCCTCATAGAGCCTGACACATTATTTTTTTGTGGTTTTGTTTCACAAGCGTGTTTCGCCGCGCGGAAGCAATATTTCAGCCAAGATAATAAAGAATTTATGCATAACGCAGCGGCAAATTCAATAAAGCATCATCGCAGCTAGTGCGTATACCGAAATGGACCCTTGCGGCATCATGGCTACGTCAATTATTGAGAGGAAATATGTATTGCTATTTATGCGAGGTGATCTGTCTATTTAATAGCTGCAAGTGACGGCCGACGCGCGTCGTCTTAAATTCGCTGCTGCTGGCGACGCCCTTTCAGGTCAAGGGTTTAATAACCCCGAAAACCTCATTAAATCTCACAAGCCACACTGAATTTCACCTTTTCCGTCGATTCCAATAGATTTAATCATTTCAATTTTAATATACAATCACAGTCGAACCTCTTCAAGTTGAACTTCGAGGGACCAGTAAAAAATCGACCTGTGGTGAGGTTCTGATTTGGGGAAAGAGTAATTTTTGCTGGAAATAAAAATGAAGAATTTATTACAGGAAACTAAAAAATGCGTGATTTTTGGCCTTAAACTGCAGAATAAATGAGTTGATGAGATGCCGTGAACGACTCACAGCATCATGGATGCTGCAACTTTTTGGAAGAAAAATAATTTTGGTGGCTTATGAGATGTGATTTAATGTTTATTTTAACTGCCGTTGACGGCCGATGCCCATCGTCTCTTGAATTCGCTGCTGCTGGCGACGCGCTCTATGATCAATACATTATCGACCACCAAAATCTAATCAATTCTCACAAACCACACTGGCAATAACCCTTCCCGTTGATTCCAGTGGATTTTACTAATCAATTATAATATAATTACAGCCGAACCTCAATGGACCAACAAAAAAATTCGAGTTGAGTCGAGTCGAGTCTATTTTTTGCCGGAAATAAATTTCATCACGAACTAAACGATGACTAACTACCTCATAAGGAGATATTTTAAATAAGCAATTACAAATATATTCGTGAGCATCCAATCTAAATACCAGTTCATTTTCTCATGATCGCATGCTTTCTGGGTTCGCGTTTTATTTTTGCTGTTTATTAGGAATGTACATTACATGTAGAGGGCTGTTATGGAAATTGACGCGCACAAAACTTCCAAAAAGATACTTTCAAATGACATATAATTTATATGTGAGGTGAAAAATGTGTTACGTCCAATGAAAAATGTAGATTCTAAATTTATGAAAATACAAATCACGAAATTGGCTTATTCTACATGCAGTGAAATAATTCCATTCTCAAGCATTGCCAATTCTCAGAGAATCGCAAGCAGGATGAGTCACCACATTCAATGAGGAATAAATCTCCAAAAATATAAAAAAAATTATTTAGCGTGGTCGGCAGTCATGATGTATGAATCCACGCTGTTTCTCGTTTCAAGAAGGGAATTCCAAGTTTTTTTTTATCGGCTTACATAAAAGGATTTTTGACATACTGTACGTCGTACAAATTACGCAAGCTTTTTCGAACGTATTCCTGAACAGGGCGTCAGCATCAATGAGATTAAGATCCTCCGTCATACATATACTCACACGGATGTTGCAACTATTGTTGCTGCAACTTTTCACGGAAACCAATTTGATTTATTGATTAGATTCGAGTGATCAGGGTTATTTATTTATTAAAAAAAAGGGAAACAAACCTAGTATCGTCGGCTTGTTCCGATGTCATATCTTCTGTTTAGTCCGGCCGTCTGAGCAAAAACAGCTTCGAAACGTTTTCAGCATGTTCGTACACGACTCGCCGTTACGAAATTTAGTTTAGTTGACCAGAAATACTTATCGAAATTGGATAAACGATCATGGTTTCACGAGAAAACAAAGAAATGAAAGAGGAAAAACTGGAGTAATGACTGGTAAAGAGTAGAGAGTAAAAGAGCTTTGATGCAGGTAAATTACATTTCTTGTCCTATTCAAATCGTGTGGAGACTTACGATTTCAGAGGGAAGAAAATAATGATGGTCTAAAGAACCTTCACAGATCATGTTGAATTTATTAATCGGAAAATTGTCGGAGGGATGTGCTCTTTCTTCTCGAAGACTATTGTGTGGCAGTTGAATTATCTTCACTCATATGATTACGGTTCTGGTTTTGCTTCAAAGGGTTTTCAGCGCTTCATAAAATGAATTCCAATGTTCGACATTAGAATCGCAGACCCGATGTTGGATATGGTTGTATCGGATCTGTGGTTTAAGTATGTATACAATGCATAATTACATCGGTCAAATTAGGTGAATCTTTTCATAATTAAGATTAATTACTAAGCAAAAAATTGCCTAATTTTGATGGCACGCATCTCGTCGTGAAACAGCATAAATTCGATTAATTTTCAAGACCGGAGCTGCTACATGGAAAATCATTCAGAAAATCAATCCAAAATTGAAGTTCCTTGAAAAAAAAATAGAGTTCATAGCTCTATGTATTGAGCTCTTTTAACCTTGGCGTTTAAAATGTACCAAAATATCTTCAAAAATACAAAATGAAATGATCCTATATTTTTTCTATTCGACACACATTGAGATACTTCTTTGATAAACGCTCGTGTAATTCGAGTTTTTTCAGAGTAGTACTATCAGCCTCAAATCGATTGAAAGATAAATGATCCGCATTTCTATCTGGGCCGTTCTGTAAAAACAGGACAATGGGAAATTTATCTCTCCAATTCATCTTTCAATCGTTCATGAAATTAGCCTATATTCACCGGAACATTTTCGAAGCGGATCGAATCCCAGAAAATTATATCTGAGCCCATTTATCTTGCAAGAAATACCGTTTAAAATTTTCAAACGACGATTTCGTTCCAGGAATTACCGCATTTATACGATTTTCAAGAGGAATAATAATCCTTGAGGCGATTAAAATATTTTTAAAAATTGTTTTTCTTTTGAAAAGGTAGTTATTGAGGATCATAGGAAGGTTTTATTTTGTAATTTGATGCCAACCACTCCCAAACCGGTCCGCATTTTTCTGAAACATCCAGGAAAAAACGCATAAAATAAATGTATTTCCCTCATTATGGATAATTCATTCGTTTATAAACTTCGCCTGTTTCCGTAGGGCATTTTTGATTGCTGATAGAATGCGAAAAAACATAACTTCGAGACCATTTATGCAGCAAGAACATCACTAGAATTGATCAGTTGGCGACTTATTTTTCCAGAAATCCTGCCTATATGCTCTCAATATGATCGAAATTAAAACACCCAACCTTTAAAATGATAATATGATTCTGTTTCCTCGATATTTCATATCTATTTGATTCTCAAGACGAGATTGCCTCGTTGTTTATCATGTTGACCTTCCGCACGCTCGTGATTGAACTCTAGTTATTAAAATGGAATCCGAAGGTAAACGAAAAGGTGGTGTTCGCGTTAAAATAATAACTTGGTTCTCTCCGTGGTACAACCTTGACCGCAGTTACGTGATTCGTAGTTATGAATCTGTCTGCTATGATAGTTACAAGTAATTTATACTATCGGAAACATAAATCTGGGCTGAGCTCGTGAACGAATTCGCTGCGTGAATTTTGTTCATAATCTCTTTGTTAGTTCAGTTTCATGTCAGTTTACTGTGCTTACACAGAATACAGTATACAGTAAATCGAAAAAAATGCGGTTATTCGAATTTTTAGACTTTCAACGTATCCCTCACGCACGAAAAAATACTTATACTTGATTCAATACCGGAAAATTTTGAACCAATTTCGTCACAACTATTTTATTGTAAAAATAAAAACCTAGTTGAATTCAGCTTCAATTTATTTCAAAATCAAAATTTGTGTGCTCTTATTTTTTGAAATATTGCAGTTCTGAAGTTTCTAAAAATGGGGAGCAGATCTTACTTTGGTTTAAAATTTAATCAAATTTTTATCAAAAATCAAAATCAACCGAAACACCTGGTTGGAGGTCTTTCTCGGGGGCGCGTGGTGCTATAATTACTATGGTACTCAAGTACCACGTGAATATATTTTTCTTTCCAGAAACACGAGACCAGCTATACATTTGGTATAGTACATCCAGCCAACCACATGGCAATGTACCACCACCAGTGGTACGCGTAAGATAGGTAGAAATTAATTAGCTTGGATGATGCAGGAATAAGCAGTGTTTTGGGATCTTCTGCGGGTAATTGTCATCTGTCATGTCTGGTCCTTGTAGGCAATAAGGATCTGGTTTTGCTGCTGTTCTTCTCAATTAAATGGTATGATGATGAAGACCGCCGTCTTCGCGGTCTACCTGTCAGCTAGTACGAACAGGATAAACTATCCGGCCTGACAAAATGTCCGTTAGGCTCAGGGAACCTTTATAAACTGTAAACGCTACTGTAAACGTTCAATTTAAGCATGATGAATATGGCGTCTCGATAAAAATAATTTTTGGTGTGCATTTTACTGTATATAATGCCATATTGTCTTGAGAATTTTTCTCAAACTGTAATATAACCAGCAAGAAAATATTAATTTTGTTTTCGGATATGAATATGGCGTCTCGATAAAAATAATTTTTGGTGTGCATTTTACTGTATATAATGCCATATTGTCTTGAGAATTTTTCTCAAACTGTAATATAACCAGCAAGAAAATATTAATTTTGTTTTCGGATTCTCAGACTGTTTTCATCCATGTTCAGCTGAAATGCGCGTTGTTTCAGCTGGATAATCAGCGCATTAATAAGTTCGAAGTTGAAAGAAAAATCTCCATGGATGAATTTCCCGCCTAATCTCAAATCCTGAAAACATGCTTTTAAGATTGCAGAAAAATTTCTGGGGCATCTCCGTTAAATTTCTTCAGCAGATGCAGGATATATTATTATAATACAGGTGGGCTCTATACAAAAGTATCGTCTACAACAAGATTATCTTAATAACGAATCTTTTCCATCATTGTAGGATTATCTCTCCTTGTTATAGGGTTCTCTACAGAAAAATTATTTCCACAAACATTTTTTTGTTGGTCCCTTGAATTTTGTTGCAGAGAGAGTTTGCCTGTTATCAAACACCTGACATGCCAACTGCGTGTTGGTCAAGTCATGTTATAGGGTTCTCTACAGAAAAATTATTTCCACAAACATTTTTTTGTTGGTCCCTTGAATTTTGTTGCAGAGAGAGTTTGCCTGTTATCAAACACCTGACATGCCAACTGCGTGTTGGTCAAGTCGTGTGTAATCACGTCAAATATTACCCTCTTTACCGATTTGAATGACTTGTATATACAAGCACTTCTTATCCCTTCGGATCACATAACATGGGATGGACGTCATCTTGCGTGGGTGCTGAGAAGTAGGGCAAGCGCGAATGGACCGTTCGAATCTTGGCGAGTTCAGTGCCCTGTGTAACATAACGGCCCTGATGAGGAAGGGAGGGCGCATCAGCAGTTCATTTGAAGAGGGAGCTTCGAGCCACTTCAAAGTAGTTCCAGGAATGCCACAAATGCTTCACTGGCCTAATCATATACAGTATAGTAAAATACAGTATTCTCACAGCGAAACCAGGGAATAAGAGTTGCCATAAAAAAATGTATCCAAGAAATTCAAGAATCACTGTCTTTTGTGCAGGGACAACAAAATACTTTGTTGTAACCAATGATTTGTTGAACCAAGTTTCTGTTGTGAACATTTTTTAATTTATTCAAAACATGTTAAACCCTTTGGCCTCAAAGTTTGGGATTACTATAGTTTTAAATTTTCTCCCTCCCCCGCGATTTCTCTTTTGAAGAAGCAGGTTTCACCTCATTCATGTTTTTAAAGCGTTGGTAATTTTCTGCAACAGATGGTTTATTATACAGTATGTGGAAATGCTCAATGATGGTTGGCTCATGGAATCAAGTGAAAAAGCCTGGTGTCATCCTCTTTGATGGGTTTTCTCGGCCAAACCTGGGTGCACGCAGAACGCAGCCAACTTATCACGCATTCTAAAATATTCATCACAATGCAAATAAGCTCGCAAACGGGAACGGCCTGGTGATGGTCCAGAGTGCCATACAAGTGCTCAGTACAGTACAGTACCCCGAAAAGGAAGCAGCTGGCATAGGCATGTCGTTGCAACCTAAATCGGAGTGCCCCCCTCCACACCTTGAGGACCAGCGAGCCGAGTAAAGTTTTTCCCTCAGACATGCCTGCTGGGTGGTTCATGGTTCCTTTTGCACCAGAGACCAGCCGAGTCAAGCACACGTGGACGAGGGTCAAAGACGACCCAAGTGATACTTCCTGGCTGCACCAGTGATTATACAAACCACCAACAGTGATTCATTTTTGGCAACGCGATTTTGGATTTTATGCCTCTGTCCTCTTATTTGGCCGAATGGATTCTCGTCCGCATTATCAATAAAGATACTGTATACAATTCAAACTTTCATGCATTGGAACTTTCTTTGCTGCTGGTGGACTTGTTCTTATTGAAGTGCTATATTCCTTCATTCCAGCACTGAGCTGGTTTACATCAGTGATCCCCAACACTCTTGCGCTGGCCGACTGGCAAATTTCCACAAAAAAATTCTGCAGACCAGCAAAGTTTCACAAAATGTTTTCAGGCTCAAACACATTTAGCTTGAACGACTTTATGGCTGGTATTTCAAAAGTTTATGTTTTTTTCTTCAAAAATTAAGAATCAATGAAGAAGGTATAGTGGAATGTTTAAAAAAATTAGGAAGTTGGGTTTGAAGAAAGGTTTCTCAGAAGGAAAAAATTAAAATAATTTATTTCAGCAGGTGACATTTGGTCTGAAGTGTTATTAAGAAAAAAGGTAACTTTTATTTTTGATCAGATAATTTAACTACCATTGTCTTTCCAAACTTACAGATAAAGATAATCGACTTCATTGCTACTTTTGATAAATTTATTATCCCGCAGAAAATTTCCCGCGGACCTTCAAAAAACTTCTGCGGACCCGAGCCGGTCCATGGGCCACAAGTTAGGGAACACTGGGTTACCTTATTATGTACATCGTTTTTCCTTTGGTTATTTCATCTTGTTCGCAATGTATATTTTCTGCAAACATGTTGCTGTTCCAGTTGTTTTCAATACAAAGCGAATGGTCAGCAATAAAGCATAAGTCACAATTCGCACTCACAAAACAATTGAACTTATTCTGCTTTAGTTCATTTGGAATCCCTTTATACAACACGATGATTCGAAAAATTATTGCCATCAACTCTTATACTGCACACCTTTGGATCACAAAGTTCCACGAGGAAAGTATCTTTCATTCAAAATCAAAATCGCTCGAGGTAAAGTATTTTAAAGGAATGATGCTCTGAATAATACCTGGGCGAATAGTCTTCGGCAAAATTTTATTAGCAAGACAATTTTATGCAGAAATGTATTTCGGCGGGCATTGTGCTACACTGCTGGCTACTTTGAAAGAATTTAATTTGTTGTCTCGTTATTATTTTTTTAAATAGAACATGACTTCTACACTTACCAAGTAATCTTTCATTCTCCGGATTGAATAGAAAGTTCAAACTTTCCGCAATATTTGAGAGCTAAAGAATGTTTTTATGATTATGAAAAATTCATTCATGTCAAATATGCCCAAAAGTAGTCATCTTTCAAAAGCAATTGGTAGAGTATTCGACTCTCTCTGACTAATGATTCTTCCATGCTTCTATAAAACTCTTATATAATTCACGTAAGTCAGTTGATGAGCTCTAAGAAGACAAAATTACAATCTTATATGCCTTGCATTTCAATGGTTTTGAGACTGTATTTTTTCAGAGATACCCGAAATAAAGTGAGTGATCATGTCGGGGAGTTACTTGGCAGCCGCCGCGGCGATGTTCGACGCCACTGTAATTTTTCCCTGGATGATCAAGCTATTTATGATCACGGCGTTCGTGAACGTGATAAGCTCAATGTACCAGTCCCTGGTAACAGAGGGCATCAAATCAGTGGCTCGTAGCGCCATGCGTACCATCGGAGTGTCCACTGAGAAGAACGTGAAGCTGAACCACGACACCGCCGTGTTCACCGAGGTCGCCAAGTCCGGCATCGTCGGGCTCGGCGAAACCTATGCTGCGGGTTACTGGGAACCCGTGGCCCGACTCGACGACTTCCTGTTCAACATCATCGTCAAGTCCGATGCCCTGGGCTCCTTTTTCGGCAACTATTGTGTCCGGTGAGTGAGAAAAATAACGAGACAGAGAGACAGCATGCGTATTTGATTGGGTCGTGATGGTGCGTCAAGTCGGACTCAAAATTTGAACTTCTTAAAAATACCTATTATTCATCTTCTTTTGATGGTAGTGCTGTATCAGTGGGTCCCTGCATAAGAAAACTTATCTATTCCAGGATGAATTTTCTTTTGATCCGCGAAACTTTCTTCATGCAAAACTCGATGTACCTTAAAGTATTATGATAAATAGCGTTGAATTCCATGGATGTCCGGATAAATCCATCGAAAAAAGTGTACGCTTCAAATATTGTGAATGTGTTCAACTCTTATCTTTCATGATGACATTTTCTTCCATGGCACCAATGGTTGCAGTACAGTATTGTATAAGAAAATATCAAGCCATATACAGTACTGTAAATTGCGTCTCTTTGGACCCCTAGAAAAGATAATTTTGACTTATTTAAAACATGTTCAGCACATTGTCAAGGTTCTGATATAACATTATGTAGAAACCTATGAAAGTGCGACGACCAGTAAATATTTGAAGACTTTTCACCAAGATCCCAAAAGAAAATTGTTCTGAATATTTTAAGTTTCGATTGAGTTTTTCAACCTATAAAAAAAAACTCGAATTAAATCAAGCAAGGCAAACGGACCAAAACCTCATGCATAATTATTTTCACGCTTTTAAGAGTGAGAATAAATTATGACCAACAGCTGAACGGAAGGACTGAGAGACGGCGGAAGCTCTTTTTCAGTATGCAAATCTAGACTGATTTGGAAACTTTGCCAGACCGTATCTGTCGCTTGGTTAAAAGTTCTTCCTGGTTAAGAAATTAAGAAATGCAGTCCATATATTGTAGTTGAAAAGCGAAATTTCAGGAAAGTATAATACAGTACAGCATATTATTTCTGCGCAGAAATTGCACAGTCCGGATAAATCCATCGAAAAAAGTGTACGCTTCAAATATTGTGAATGTGTTCAACTCTTATCTTTCATGATGACATTTTCTTCCATGGCACCAATGGTTGCAGTACAGTATTGTATAAGAAAATAACAAGCCATATACAGTACTGTAAATTGCGTCTCTTTGGACCCCTAGAAAAGATAATTTTGACTTATTTAAAACATGTTCAGCACATTGTCAAGGTTCTGATATAACATGAAGTAGAAAGCTATGATAGTGCGACGAACAGTAAATTTTTGAGGACTTTTCACCAAGATCCCAAAAGAAAATTGTTCTGAATAGTATAAGTTTCGATTGAGCTCTTCAACCTATAAAAAAAAACTCGAATTAAATCAAGCAAGGCAAACGGACCAAAACCTCATGCATAATTATTTTCACGCTTTTAAGAGTGAGAATGAATTATGACCAACAGCTGAACGGAAGGACTGAGAGACGGCGGAAGCTCTTTTTCAGTATGCAAATCTAGACTGATTTGGAAACTTTGCCAGACCGTATCGGTCGCTTGGTTAAAAGTTCTTCCTGGTTAAGAAATTAAGAAATGCAGTCCATATATTGTAGTTGAAAAGCGAAATTTCAGGAAAGTATAATACAGTACAGCATATTATTTCTGCGCAGAAATTGCACAATTGCTTGAAATCAAGGCGGAAGTTAAAAAGACCTACTATACGACATAATCAGTATCCGCGAATCTATTAATGTCTCTTAAAAACCATTCTTGTGAAATTATTTCGAACCTTATACTGTAATTCATCCTTCTGCAACACCTTCATATTTTTAGAATAGGTAATGTTGATTGTTTTCTTTGTTCTTCGCTCTGATTACCGCCGTAAAATACTCATAAATATTCAAAATATGAATTCAAATACCCGTTGCTGCAGCGTTTTATGATTTTCTAAAATGCTAACGTCCTGAAAATATTTTTCGTGCGTCTAATGTCCTCATAAAAATCGACTTCTGATATTTCTAGAATATATTTTTGCAATGCAATCTTCGAATCTTTGAAAAGCTTTTTAAAGTTGTATATGGACGGGAAACAAATTATAAATTTAAACGATTCTTTCTTTAATTTTTCCAGCTATACTTATGAACACTCATGATTATAGATAAATGGTGGTACGCATTTTTTTCGCCGTTCGGCGCATCATCAGAAGAAAAGTTTAGTACAGTACAGCATATATAATTCTGAAGTAAATCTTATGAAATTATCGTCATTTTCTTTCCCAAGACTTGCTTTTCCCTATGTAAAATTCTCATTTTCATGTAAAATGGTTCTTTGCAAGGAACATGCAATCATATTTTTTACAATTTTTCCCTTGAATGTCGTTAGCGGCTGATCTTTTGACATCCCAACGAAAGTGCTGTGTTTTAAATTCCACAAATTCGAAACATCCGTGTCATTTCGAAAATGCTTTCTAAAACATCATTCCTGTTTTGGAAATTGCTTTCCCATTACATGCAGTACTTGCTCTTTTTGAAACTAGCGGTGTGAACTCTGAAGACTTGGCCATTTTGACCATCGCTCTTTTGAAAATTACGCTCTAAATGTTTGCTCTTCTGAAACTTGCCTTTACCAAACTTTCACTTTTAAGGCTTTCTCTTTTCTTCATTGTTCTTTCCAAGCTCGATCTTCAGAGATTTGCACTTCAATGACTAGATGGTTTTCGAATTACTTTTCAGAAATTTTCTCTTTTAAATTTCCTCTCATCCAATTTGCTGTTTTGATGCTTGACGTTCGCAACTTGCTATGAACAAAATTTTTATTTTTACATGCTGAACTTTTGGAGATGTAACTTTCAGAAAATTCCTTTATACAGGTTGAAACTTTAAAGAAATACTCTTCTAAGGCTAATTCTTCTGAGAATTACTTTTACCAAACTTGCAATTTTCAGGCTTTCTCTTTTCACACTTGTTCTTTCAAGTTAAGCTCGATCTTCAGGGGCTTTCCTCTTCTCCAGTTGCTTTTATCCACTTTGCTCTTTGTTAACTTACTCCTTACAGAGTAGACTTTTTTTCTACAAGCTAAATCTTTGTAGATGCGTCTTTGGCAGAATTGCTTTTGATAGATTTAAACTTTCAAGAATTACTCTTCAGAGGAATTCAAGCTTGCTCTTTTGAAACTTATTCTCCACAGGCGTGATCTTTTGGATATTTGCTCTTCTGATGCGCATCGTTTGTTTCCAGACTGGCTTCAATGACCAAGACATACTTTGATTTCCCAAACGGGTCTCAAATCCAAGCGCATCGGTGCACAAATAACCCGGCCTCATCAGCAGACGACGACCACGTCGAACCAGAAGCAATCAGCACGCAAAACATACTCATGTCTGGTCTCTGGACCAAATCCCAAGACCTGGACGAAGCCCTACTGGCCCGCATGAGCGACATTGCGGAAAAACTACGCTTGCGACCCGGTCATCGCGTCTTGGACATCAACTGCGGCCACGGGGCATTGGCGTGCTATTTGGCAGAGAATAACGACGGGATTTCCATTACTGGGATCGACGGGTCCAGGCAGCAAATCGATTCGTCCAGACGCCGGGCCGAAGAGGTCGGAGTAAGCGACCGGACCGAGTTCATTAATGGGAACTGGGGCTCGGTGACGATTGTCAAACTGGCCTAGCAGCGGAGCCCGGACCAACTCGTTGAGAGCGGGCTTCTTTACGCGGCTAAAAAGCTGCAGCAGCGGGCCTAAAACGCTGGGCTACCCCATGACGACTATGTGCGGTAGTGGACGCCGTCTGGTTGCGGGCAAGACGATGCCTGGGTTCGCAACTACGCCTTGCCCGATTTCTACCCTCATAAGGTGAGGTACTTAAATCGCTGTGCAGAGTAATTAATGAATTTAATGCGGGTAAATATCAAGGGAAGCTATCGTGTTCTGCGCATCTCTGACGTCTCTGAATGATTCATTTCTCCCTGTCAAGTTTCATAAAGGAACTTCTATTTCACATTATTGTTTGCTCGAAGCATTAGAAAAATTCATATTTGAATAGTCCAGATACCATATCCATTTGGTACGAGGTCTATGTTGAGAATACCTGCATGAGTGTTCAATGAGTCAGAAAAGAGGGATGAATTTTGAACCTCGAACGTTTAAAAGTCAAATACGGTATTATGCATAATGTCTCATTTGAAAAAAAAAAACCTTCATTGAATTGAATTATTTGGATAGCATTGATTGAGCCATTGTGAGAAATTATGCGTCGGACAAGGTCTAATTCTTATAACATTTTTGTTCTTTTCGAATTCAAGAACCGTAACTCTTTGTGAAATTGACCTTGACTGATGAAAATGGTTCATAATTTCTTTCGTTGTTTTCGACAGCACTTTTTTCCTTCGATTTCCCCTGCATAATATTCCAGCTATCGCTCGACTTTTTTTCAATCCTTGCTCATTTAAATTCATGAGAATAAACCGATAAGCACGGCTTTCTAATTTTAAAAATATTTTCTTAATTTCCGATGCGTCAAATTTAAATCCCTCCAACTTGTAATGAGTTATGAACAGTTACGTCTGTGATCTTAATCGCTTCACGCCTCTCGGATACAAAGTTACGCGATTACCTTTCGAAAGTTTCCTTTCGCCACGATTCATGGCTTTTTGTTGCAATAAAGAAACCTGTTTCGTCCACAGTAGCGCCACCGTCTATTTCCGTATTTGTAAGCCCTGGCGAAATAATGCTTTAGGCAAGTTCGAGAGTTCAATGGTTTACTGAGTACTTACTCGGCTGGTACTGCTTTTTTTGTGGTCCGCCGAAGATAATTTAATCGGAACTTTGATCAGAATAAACAGTTTGACCGGATCGTCGCCTCGGGCCTGGTTGAGCAACTCTCGCCCGAAGAAATGCGCCGATTTTTCGACGTCGTCGCCCGGATTTTGCGACCCGATGGGGTACTGCTGATACACGCCATCACTACGCCGTCTGGTTGCGGGCAAGACGATGCCTGGGTTCGCAACTACGCCTTGCCCGATTTCTACCCTCATAAGGTGAGCTAAACAAATCGCTGTACACAGTAATATTTGCATTTAATGCAGGTAAATATTAAGGCAGCTATTGTGTTCTGATGCGCATCTCTGACGACTCTGAATGATTCATTTCTGCCAGTCAAATTTCATAAAGGAACTTCCATTATTTTTTGCTCAAAGCATTCAAAAAATTTATACTTGAATAGTCCAGATACCATATCCATTTGGTACGAGGTCTATGTTGAGAATACCTGCATGAGTGTTCAATGAGTCAGAAAAGAAGGATGAATTTTGAACCTCAAACGTTTAAAAGTCAAATACTGTACAGTATTATGCATAATGTATCCTTTGAAAAAAAAAAACCTTCATTGAATTGAATTATTTGGATAGCATTGATTATGGAGACGTGAGAAATTATGCGTCAGACAAGGTCTAATTCTCATAACATGTTTTTGTTCTTTTCGAATTCAAAAACCGTAACTCTTTGTGAAATTGACCTTGACTGATGAAAATGGTTCATAATTTCCTTCGTTGTTTTCGACAGCACTTTTTTCCTTCGATTTCCCCTGCATAAAATTCCAGCTATCGCTCGAATTTTTTCAAGCCCTGCTCATTTAAAGTCATGGGAATAAACCGATAAGCACCGCTTTTTCATTTTCAAAATATTTTCTCAATTTCCGATGCTTCAAATTTAAATCCCTCCAGCTTGTAATGAGTTATGAACAGTTACGTCTGTGATCTTAATCGCTTCACGCCTCTCGGATACAAAGTTACGCGATTACCTTTCGAAAGTTTCCTTTCGCCACGATTCATGGCTTTTTTGTTGCAATAAAGAAACCTGTTTCGTCCACAGTAGCGCCACCGTCTATTTCCGTATTTGTAAGCCCTGGCGAAATAATGCTTTAGGCAAGTTCGAGAGTTCAATGGTTTACTGAGTACTTACTCGGCTGGTACTGCTTTTTTTGTGGTCCGCCGAAGATAATTTAATCGGAACTTTGATCAGAATATATTAAGCCCTGCATTTGTCCTGTTTGCAGTGTGAGAACGTCTGAATAAGGTACAGAAAAAAAAAGAAATTTTTCTTTTGTAATTTTGTGTACCCGCATCGAAAAAGAAAAATGACGCAGCAGTAATGGCGCTCAACCAGAAAAGCATAGTTTTTTTTCTTCGTATTCATTCAACAAAAACGTCTTTTATGAAAAAATTTCAAGATCTGGCTTAAATTTCGTTGTTTTAAATTCGTAGAAAAGTGAATTCTTCGGACTTGTATTTTACATGATCATGTCTTCGGGTAATGCAGCACATTTCCGCAATTTTTATGTGATACTGGGTCTGAAGCAAAGACATTGTTAATGTAGCACAAGCATGGATTCCGAGCTGAGTCAAGGTGGTAAAGGTACATCACGATGTTGTGGGAAAAACCTCATGTCATTCCATCGATTGTCTTCAGAATTAATGCGCATATTGTGCTATCAATAAAGGATATTAAAGGTTGATGTGCTATTTTATGCAATCAGTGGAACGTAGGAGACGCAGGAAGCCATAAAAACCATTACACTCGAGTCACGCATGGATGAAGCAGGAACAGGAAATGGGGGACTCATTTTCCTCTAGCTTTTTGTTGTAGTTGCTGGTAACCAAATTCGGTGAAACGTTTGTATGAAAAAGAAAAGAATGAACACAATTATTTGTTTGCGTGATTCGATCATGTAAATGTTTTCAAAGCACTGGAGTTTTCTATTGGATGCTAAATTCCGTATGGAAATCAGACAGATATATGCGAGAAAATACTGTGTTTAATCATATACTGCGCGCGCCTTTTTTTGGTAACTCCCTACTAAAAAAATTGTTTAACTCTCCTACTCGGAAAAATGCTTCCCCATTTTTGTGATGGTAATACAGTATTGGATCTCGGAATACATTTTAAAAATGTCAAGAAGGGAGCAGAATAAAATGTTTAAGCTTCGCACGAAAATATTATTACTTTTTACTTGTTTTCGTTGTGTTTTTCACATTTTATTCTATCCAACATTGAAATTTGTATTTAAGTTTGAATATTGTGTATTGATCAAAAAGAACTAGGGTGCTCACATTATGCACGGATCCATTTTTAAATTCTACTTTGCAAAATCGAGTTGAATGTCGTAAATGAGTGTGCACGGTACTTGAGGAAATGAGATTTTATAAAAAGTATAACTTATTCTAATTTCTCGTTTCCTTGAATATAATCTGCAACCTGTTTCAAGCCGCAGCATGATTTTGCCTAGTTATTTGATTGAAAATTAATTGAATATTTTAGGGGGAAATATTATGAGAAAAAACGCGGCTAATCTAAGCATGAAGCAGTTTCGATATTGCATTTGGTCTGGGAAGTTTACTATACATTTCTACCAGTTAAAAACGCTTAATAAAAGGAATAAAGTCATCCATTACCTTGAAAATTTCAAGAAAATACCCGTAAACCGCGCAGGTAAATTCTCCTGTATTATTATTCTTCCGTGGTAGAATTTTTACTAGCTTCATTTTATTCGAGATTTGATCTCTTTCCATGCGCATGATCAAAATAATGGATCAGACACTTGGGTTTAAATAAGCTCTCGCCTTGAATATATGAAGTATGAACTTTCGACTCTTCGAAAAACTTCAACCTTCACGGCTTAATCGCAGTAGAGCTCAGCAGAGGAATGGGATTACTATAGTGAAAGCTCTTATTCAGCAGGTGGATTTTGATTTTTTTTTAAATGACCTCGTAGAATATCATGGACATTATCGCAAAGTTTCGAATGCATTTCTCTAGAAAATTTCTTCAGGGAAAGGCAAATAAAACTGCTGCTGTAAAATTCGCAAGGTTTACGTGTCCATGATATTCCCCTTAGTTTATGGTGCACTTGATTCGGGCGCGAATAGTCCGAGTTCCAGTCATGGCTTTCATTTCCATAAACTTTTTTCATTTTCTCTGTCATCTCTCTGAAGGTCTCTGACTTACTTCGGCAAGAAAACCCGTCTCTGAAGCTCGAATCCTGTTCGGAAATCAGCGAAGATTACTGCAAGACTGCGGAATACCGGTCAGCGCGTTTGCTGAAAGAACTGCAATTCCGAAGCAGCGGAATCCCTGTGAAACGCGGCAAAATTCGCCAATTCACTCTAGCCTACGCCTGCGCCGCTATTCGGGCTCAACGCATCACAGCTCACGAATTCGTCTTCGTGAAATAATTCAAGAAAACAAAGAAAAAGTGGGGGAGAAAAAGTACCAAATCGGTACTTGCTGGCGAATGTCTCGGACCGTGGAATCCTGATGAGAATGTAAGCTATAGGATTGATGCTTGTTCGTGTGTCATTCGTCTCCGATGACGAAAGCGCATTATAGCAATCCCATGTCTGTGTGTGAAGCAACCGAGAGCCTTAAATTTGGCAAAATTGTCCATTTGTAAAAATCGGAAATGTGCATTCTTAGGTGCTGGAAATAAAGAAAGATGGGAACGACTTGATCAGGAAGCGTGGCTTGGATTCTTTTATCTGAAAATCCAGAATTGGTATATTCCGGTTTTGTTTTAAATTCCTGATGATTTGGAAAATAAGTAATATGCGCGTTACTTGAGCACAATTTTTCTTTTACCACTAATATGTAAGTATTGCTAATACAGTACTTCCACG